GGAGTGGGAAATTTTATAATCAGACACACAGGCGCATGCGCGCGCGCACACTCAAGAAGACAGCAATTTGAGCAATGCAACCACAAACTGAGGAACGCTTGTAGTTACAAGAAGCCCAGAGAGGCAAGGAAAGGAGCTCCCAAAGAACCTTGAGAGGCAGTGTGGCCCTGCTAACCTCTTGACATCTTGTTTTGGTTCAGTAGTACTGATTTCAGACTGCTCCAGAATAATGACAAGATAATTTTTTTGCGGAAGCCACAGGACATTAACAGAGTGCCCAATACAAGTTCTAAAACTAAATAAATTACATGAAGTCTAGTGTTTAGGTTCAGGGTGTTTTATTTGTGCATTCTTCTGTTATCTTTACTTGTGAGCGTGCCCAGGGAATACAATGCTTGTTATAAAAAACTTCTCAACAGACAAGGCACATTTCCACACTATGAACTTTTCCCTCAGAAGCTGAAATGTTTAATGGATTAAAATATTACAAATGTTAGTAATACAAAAAGAGGTAGTACGAATGTTGTTGTTGATTGTGAACATTTAGCAAGAAAATTAGAACTATAAACTTTAAAAATAGGTTTTTGAATTGTAAATCCATATAGAAATACTTTCCTATCATCTTTTCTTTAAAAGATAAGAACGTTTCAATGGGATTAATGCTCACTTAATATTGTTCTAATCTAGTATTTTTTCCAAAATGATAAAAATTGCATTTATAAGTTCTTACCTTTTAAACATAGCACAAATGTGTATACAATTGCTTTCTTTATCCTGTACGCATATTCGTTTTGTGCCTCCAAGGTCATAGTGAGAGAACAGACATGCCCAAGAAGCAAAACTATACATTATTCATTTATTTAATTTGAGTGTATTTGAAAAAACTTAGGAATTAGATAACTTTTAATGTCAAGTGCAAACATTTGGGACTCACTGTACTTATATAAAATTATATTTCCAAACTAGCTTTCATCCTGCCCTAAAGATAAAAATCAGGAGGCTGGTCAAATACGCTAGCCAAATTGCATTCCTGGCACAAGAGGGGAGTATTCAGAACCCCTAAATAACCTTTTCTTTAATTATAAAATACACATAATTCTATAAAAAGTATGAATGTTATTGGAACTCTGTTGCTAGGAGGAATTTATTCCAAACTGGTATTTATGATCAAAAATGATTTATGATATGTGCTCAGTCCAAACGAACGCAGGGAGCACGACAGGGGGCATTGCATTGTGAAGCTCCACAAAGAACCTTCTTTCTTTCATTAACTTCCACTGCTGGTTGCTATGGCACCTGGTGACAACCATAAATTTTGGAAATTATCACTATCTGCCCACACCCCCTTCCAAGGTTACTCAGAAGTCCACTCAAGGAACCAAAATAACAAACAAATGAAATTTTCATAAAGCAATCTCAAAGGCCATTTTTCTTTTTTCTTTAATTGCACATTCCTGTTCAAACTAAAGTTCAAAATGGGACATAGCTCCAATAACTTAAATGGAGGTGAAGGTGATGTGTTCTGGAACACTGTGTTAGATGCCTCAAAAAGCAATTCTCGTGTGGAAACAGCCCTGGTGTTGGAGAAGCACGTTAAAAGCTTAAACAACATAATTCCACTTCATGCAGTGAAAAAGCAAAAACAAACAGACAAATAAATAAAATACACTAACATCATAATATCAGAGTGGGAAAAGACTTCAAAATATTAAAGTAGTCATTTTTTTCTGGAAAGAAACAACAGATGTCTCCAGGAAAACATATTTAACTCCAATGCTCAATTGTTGAAAAGGAAAAATGAAGGAATGATTAGGAAAAAATTGATAGGTTCTTATAAATTTGTCAAAATTAATGAACTTTTCCATTTCACAGGACCAATTCTGGCAACTTTGAAAGCAAACTTACGTCTGTTGTGCTTTTCAAAACTTAATACTGAGAATACAGAAGTACAGGTCAATGTTCATAGGTAAGCTAAAATTTAAATCTCAGAGAGCGTTTGAAATTGAGGAAAGGGGTTTATTTTCTTGTTTTTTTGAGGCTTACATGTTTATTTATTTGTTCTGGTAGCTTTAGAAACCTGCTTTCTAAGTCTTTTAAAGATATTAATATACTATATAGCCTTGGAAACAAAGTTTTAAAATTCTAAACTCACATGTCATGGTAAAAATGCCATCAGATTAGCTCACTTAATGTCAGCAGTATTGATAAATAGCTTTTCATTGAGTTTAAAAAATAAATAAATAACACACTTCACTAATCCCATTTTAGGAAGAAAAAAATGGCATTTTATTTTCTAAGAAAGTAACAAATACAAGAAAAAGAATGTGGCAAATATAAATGATGTAAAAGTGTATATATTCATGTTGAGTCATATTTGTACAAGATACTAAGTTCTCCTTGGAAGAAAATTGTTACTCTTTTGAGAATTGTAAGATTTCTTTAACACCATTAGATTTCAGGTCAATGTTTTCAGATAGTAAACAATTTAGGGGATGGGGCTATTCTATATCCCCTAAAATCTAAACTTCTCTGGCTTGAAACATTTTATGTAAAAAAAGTAATCATATTGAATATATTAAGATAACACCATTCATGAGCAACAGTCAAACTTCTGGCAGTTTCAAATCTTTGGACCAGTCTCTAAAAGTTGAAAGTAAGTAAAACAGGCAATAAGAAGCTTGTCTTAAAGCCTTCCACTGAGCTATACAGAGCATCGGACTGTTGAAGACCCACTTTTCAAATCAGTTTACTCTCCTAATGAGCAACTATTTCTTCATCCTTCTCTAGAACATGAGCATTTGAGGTCTTTTTCAATACAATGCTAAATAAGCTCAAAAGAAATTCTAGTTTCTGGGTTGACAAGATAGTATATAGAACAAAAGTAAAAAAAAATTAAAACAAGTCTGAGAAGAACAACACAACAATTGAAATATATGAAATGTTTTTAATTCATAAATGAATGTTCATAAACATGAATCAAGTATAATAATCTTCGGTGTCTCTGCTCACCAAACCAGAAAAAGGTCTATCAAAAATAACCTAATATGCTAATTTTGTGTTTTGACATATGATCATCAGTTAGTTACAAACTCCACAAAGTCACTTGCTGACGGTGAATATGTGAGGTGTTTCTATAAGTGTATTCTGATGACATCATCTAATTTCATCATTGCTTTGCTAATAAACTATTTACTGTCTTCACCTTCAAAGGGTAAATGTTAGCAGGCAATCTGGAAGTAGATCTTCCCTCTTTTAATCTGAATATAATCTGGGATACTTTTCACTCATCAGGAAACTGCATTTAGTAATATGTGAGTCAACACAAACTTATCAAATATACAATAATGATTATTAAAAATGACTATGTTTTTAGATCCCCAAAACATAGTTTATTAAGAAATAAGTTGTTAAAGATTCTTAGGTCTTTCCTCTAGTACCCCTGTGTCTTTCAAACATTAAACAGGAAAAGTTAAGATTTTAGTTCCATCTGGCTTATATACTACATAAAAAAACAAAACAAAACAAATATTTGAATCAGGAAATTTTATCTAGTTAAATTCAAATAGTTAAGCCTTGACAAAGCACTACCAATTTCTTTTCCAAATCTCAAATTTGCAATTAGGTTTTCATGCAGCAGGTAGGATTCAGTTACTTGTGAAACACTACTAACTAAACAAATAGGAATGATGATACTTGCTCTGTAATTGAGTCATTCTCAACTATTAATTTCATTTCCTATGTCTCAATTTTTTGCCTGCAAAATTAGCATCAAAATACAATTCTCCATGGGACTTTAAATAATTTACTGTTAAGTTCATAATGCAGTACCTTACAGAAAATGTTAAACATATCAAATGAATAAATAGCTTCAAATTCAACTCAACTGATGTTTGATAAAGGTCCACAAAGGTGAAGAAACTTCAGATGGTGCCACAAAAATAAAAGTGAATTAAAACATTCATTGCTTTCAAGGACTTGTCACCCAAATATGGAATGTGGGGGAAAAAAGATATCCCATGATAATATTACAGAACAGATAAAGACAAATATTACGAAAGAAAAAAAATACACATCGATATGGGAATTCAGAGGAAAAAAATGAAGACTCATCATCTTGCCAGCTTATCTTTTTTGTATCAGTTGTTTTTACACGGCAATTATATGCTTTCATTCATATGTATATCTCCTCAATACATTTCTATGATGGCAAGAATTATTACAAATATTATATATTATAATAATATAATCATCATTGTTATTTTAATTTGTTCAAGGGTCTGGTTGAAACATGGAAAGTGGGCAAATGCGTAAGTGAATAAAATAATTAATGAACACAACACTATTGGGTAGAAATCAAATAGTTATTTTTGCATGCAGTGCAATATTTAAGTTGTTTATGGTATACACCTTATGTGATGAAGACTATTCTTTTACTTGTACATTTTCACAATTTTAGTAATAAACATCCTTCAAATGTTTCTAATGAAATGTATTCACAATATAGTTTGAGAGAAAATAGGAGATATTCCCATTTGATATAGTCATTGTCTTTTGCTGAAGGGCATTTCAATCTGCTTTGGAACAGTGATGGAATGAGACATAAGTTCAGAGCTCAGAAACAAGGGGTTCTGAAACCAGTGACAGTTACCAGCTGCTGGTCCTCGGAAATTCATCCCCATTCACTCTGAGCTTCGATTCCTCAACGGGAAAATAAGGATAATACTTTGTTGTTTGCTACTAGGGAAGAGATTAATAAGAATAGCCCCCTGCATTGTGCTCAATTAAGCTTCTTTTATTTTATTTTAAATAAAGAAATGATTATGCAGTTTTGAACTATAATGCAGTTTTGAAATAAATTCTCCTCAGTAACATCTTAGTGTGTACAAAACATAATCAGCGGGTGCAAATATCGACATCCATACACATAATATATGTTATTTATATGTGCTATGGCATGGGCTGGTTTTCAATATTTTCAGTATAAATCAGCATGCTCTTACCTGTAGGTGGGATTATCCCAGGAGACATGAGGCCAGGGACAGAATGTGGCATGATATGAGAGTTCTCTGGGGAGGTGACACTCTGAGTCCTCTTAGGAGGCCTTCCAGGTCTAGAACTGAAACAAACAAACAAAAAATTTTTACAATTAAGCTGTTGTCTTACACATCATTTCAAAGTTGTTTCAAGTGGTAACATGGACTGTAAATAAATTTGTTTCAAGGACGGTTGCTTTTGCAGTTAGATGTAATAGACTTCCATCACTAATTAGATTACATGCTGAATTCATTTTCCTCATTGAAGATCAGCCACTCTTGATGCATAATTCATAGCCTGCACCTCGTTACCTGCTTCTTCATATTAATATCTATACACAGTTTGAATTGCCTCGTTTGCATATGCTAAAGTTCTGCATGCAGCCTTCAGCACGAAAATTATGCACTAACTTGTAATAATTATTACAGTCAGCCTGCTATTGATTTATGAGACTTTTAAAAACCAAATATGTGTAGTACTTGTAATGAATGATATTTTAAGGTTCTTCAGGAAATTAAAAGGCAATGGCTGCCTAAGGAAATGTTCTGCTTGTTTGATTTAATACTACAGTTAGCTGGGAGGTGGAATGAAAGAGTGATTCAGACCTATAGCACATTTTTCGATGATATGTTTTATTACTTCGCACTGCTAGCCTGATATCTAGATGATAAATGACAATACATATCTAATGTGTGAAAAGGTCTTGCAATTTCTTTATTTTTTGTCATTTAAAAGATAAGTCAAGTTATCATTTAACCCTTATTCTAGTTAAATGAATAGCCCCACTAGGTTGCCTTACTTTTAATATACTAAAATAAATTGGAAAGGCTTAGGATTATTTGTAAGGCATTGCTGAGAAACTGCCAGTATAGCATCTCATATCTGCCTTTAGGGTAAATAAGAACACCTTGTGTTTGTGGCTTAGTAGTACTTGTCTTTACATACCTATTGTTCAAGATTAATTTTTAACATTATAAAAGCAGCAGGTGAAGAGGAAAGAGGTATTCACTATCCTTGTATGAGAATGACATGAATGTAATATTAGCAATTTTTGAAACAAACATACTTAGCATTATGTTCCCACTATCTACCTCTGTATCATGATGTGCTTTTATAAAAAGTTTTTCCATCATTTATCTGGTCAATATGTGCCTAGATATAACTTCTGGATGCAAACTTCATAAATTAGCCATGTTAGCCTCAGCTGAGTTTCTTTGCCTCATCAGAAGACTCAAAGATCCTACCTCTATCATTTAATGTATGTAATATATGTGCTCATTTAACAAATAAGTAGTAAGCACTTGCTGTTTTCAAAGTAGTTCACTGTGCAGGCTAATTGGGGAGAACGGGATCTTCAGTCTTTAGCAGCTAACACCTTGCCTGAGCATGGGTTGTCAGCGGGGTGGGTGGGGAGGGCATACAAATGTGGCGCTATAAATAAACTATGGTACAAGCTGGATTGCGCAAAGTGTCATAAGAAAGTTGCAATCTGGTTACTCATCGGAAGTTAGTCTGGGTGATCATCCATCCATGTTGAGCGAAGAGAGATAAGATTTCATGGCAGTGACCACTTTAGAAGAGAATTCTAAATTCTTCTTATAAGATGCACATTCCCCATCATGGCACCTTCAACGTCTTCCAAACTTGGTCCCTGCCTACTTTTCCAATTTCACCCTTTTATTCCTACATTTATGGCTTATATTTGGCCCTACTGATTTTCTAGCAGGGTCCTAAGTGGCTTTGGTCTCCTGTTATAAGATGTTTATAGATGCTGCCTCCTTTGCCACCAAAGCCCTTTCTCATACCAGCCCACTCTCAGCCCCATTTTACCGGGCTAAACTTGGCTAAACCGTAGTCATTCTTCTTATTAACCACACCTAGTTAATATGTTTTCTAGGCACTATGAGAGTCCATGATGAACAAATATATTATAGCTCTCCACTGTTTGTAGTAATCTGCTTATTTGTTTCACTCCCAAGACTATAGCAGAAATTATATTAAATACATCCTTAATACCTAGCTCAGGGCCTGGCTCACCATATGTATTTATTTTCTTTTTTTTAATTTCCTTTTTTTAATTTCACTGTATGTATTTAAATAAACTTTAACACAATTTATGAAGACTTTTCCCCCAAATTCCACAAGTATCCCACTCCATTCATTCTAGTGGTCTCAAAGTGTCCAGGAAATGAAAAGTAAGACACAAAAATAAACTTTGGAATTCTGAGTCTAAGGATAATATACACCAGAAAACCAGAAAAAGAGAATAGAGCTATTGGGAGATCTCAAGCAAAATGCCAAGGAGAAAGTAGAAAAGGAAAGGAAAGGGAAGTAAGATTTAAACATTTTAGCCCTTGAATTTGTTTTGCTTTGAAAGAGAATGAGACTGTTTAGAAGCACTTTATTATTCAGGCCACAAGAGCTGTCCTCAGGGCCCTTACTTTGCAAGTAGAAGTCAGGTTATAAGTGGCTTTTTTACTGTGGTTAAAAAGGCCAGTGGGCTTTTTTCACCCCAGATATCTGCTGCCCAAACTAGGACATTGCCTCCCATTCACCAGGAGAGATTTCTGCTATCGGTTTTAAAGCTTTAAGATCTTTTCAAGCCTTCCTTTAAAGAGCAAATGCTCTTGATGATGGTAACACCCTACAGCCATCACTAACCCCCTACTGAGGATTACTTTACAATTCGGAGAGAGCACTGTCTTGAGATGTCTATGGAAATAATGGAGAGGAATGGAAGGAAAGATCTGAAGGAGGTCAAGTAACTTACCCTTTTGCCTAAGAATAAGACTACTGGGAACATTTCCTTGGAGCTATACCCAAGTCCTTGATTGAGGGGAAGTTAGATTTTTGTTTTCTTCCTAACAAGACATTTCTCTAGTCCTTCATGACCTACAGCTAGGTTAGGTCCCCTTGGTGTTTTGCCTTTACTGCAGTCTGGTCACTAACTGCCAGAAGGTTTGACTCTAGGGAAGATATGCTCATTGTTAAATATTTAAAAAGAATTTAAATTACTTTCAAAGGAGCTTTAGGAAAGTTCTTGAAGAACCGGTGGAGTGCTGCAGCCAAAAGCACAGGTTGTACTGCCTCGACACATCAACACATCGGGGACTTCAGACACTGGCGCTACCAGTTCACTAGAAGGTGTGGCCTTAATCAAGCTACCTAGCTTCCTTGAACATCCAATTAAATTTAGATCTTAAAAAATGGGCCCGTTTGCTTTGTTAGAAACAAGTTATTCTTGGCAAGAAAAACCCAAACTTAACTGAAAAGTCAAGTGAAACAACTAGCAAAAATATTTCCCTATGAAATGATCAACTGTCCCTGCAGTAGCCACCTTCAAGCCTCCTTTATCTCTAATAGTAACCAAGCTCCACTCCAGAGGGTCAGAACAGCTCAACTCTCCTCATTCTAATCAAAGTGGAAGACTTCACTTAAATAAATCATTACCCTTAACAGCTTGAATGAAATCAAATTTATGATTTTGGTCATTGTTTTTGTCAGCCCTAAGTGTTTTCAACCATCTTCATTAAAACTGGAAAGCAATGGCTTAAAGATGTCCAAATCTGCACTTGATATGTCACTTAGGAATCAACCCAGGCACAACCTTCCCTGCACTTTTGAATATAAAAGGTTTCTTTTCAAAAGAGATCACTAGGTAGACTGCTTTCCTTAGTTTACATCATGAAATACATCACGTGCTAGTTTCTCTGTCTCCCCCAAAACTATATAATATTTACCAACTCTTCCTAGTCCTCTTGTGCTTATTGAGGGTGAAGTCAAACCAAACTTAACAAAATCAAACAAAAGTGATATAAATTAATAAGAAGATAAGTGCATCAAAGGAGTTAGAGGTATTTGAAATCTTAGAGGAAGGGTACATTACAGATTTTTTTTACTCCCCAAACTTTTCCCTAGACATTATCTTCTGCTAATTTCTTCAGTAGTTTTTGATAAATTGAGATCAATTCTATTCCTGAGAGTTAAAGCTGAAAAACACATAAAACCCAGAAAGTGATTGTGATGGTTATAAATTGGTAAATGCCAAAATAGCTAACTCCTTCCAGAAAATTTGGTTCCCAATTCTACCTGTTTAAAGAAGTGTTCTGTTCAATCATTCAATTCATTCATCCATTTATCTAAGGAAAGGAGCTACTACTGTACAACAAGCCATGGGCTAGATATTATAGGGTGGCAGGAATAAAGACACATTCCCTTCTTTGAGAAGGAAAATAAAATTAAATAGCCTGTGGGACAATAGTGCAGAAGAAAAACACATGGCGGCAAGTGAGCATTGATTTTAGTCTTGGGACACAACCAAGCATTCAGGGGTGAAAGGAGCTTGCTCCATTAATCTACAAGAGTTCATTTGCCTTCTGTAATCTATGCACCCTAGGAAAACTCCAACTGCGGGTTTATATTCTGCAAAATTTTTCTAGTAAACTGCTTCTACAAAGCCAAGTCAAGATACATGACAATTTTAAATATATATATAGAGAGAGAGAGAGAGAGTCAAATACATAAGCCATGCATTTGTTCTAATTTCTAATTGGAAAGGTAAAATTTGCTTACTAATTTACATACACACTTAAACATTATGAGGTCATGAAGAGTGATCTTAATGAAGAAATTAGGAGAAAATGTTTATGTTCTAAGTAAAGTATAAACCTGCCAATACAAACACAAAAGAGCACAAGAGAGACAAATTAAGTAAAGCAAACAATAAATATGCAGAGGAAAAAAAAGAATAGAAGGAAACACTAAAATATTAGGAGGTATTACCAGTGGATGGAGAATCACATATTTTTTCTATATCTGAAGAGTTTAGTTTACCCAATTTAAGCATATATTATGTATAAAATATAAAATCAAACTTTAAAAATTAATTTAACATTACAGTGACTCTGGCCATGTTTTTCAGATAATTCATCATTGTAGACAAACTGTAATTCTGGCTAAACTTAATCAGTGCCTGAGGTTTATCTTTATCTATAGCAGAAACCAGATATAATTTATCCTCTTAATCTTTCCTTTTTTCTATTTCAGTACTAAAATATCTAATAAAAAGCAGATAATTATATG